TTTTGCTGAGGAAGACTGGCCCTGGGCTAACATCCGTGCCCATCTTCCTCTACTTTATATGGGACGCCGCCACAGCATGGCCCGACAAGCGGTGCGTCGGTGCGCGCCCGGGATCCAAACCGGCGAACCCCGGGCCGCGGCAGCGGAGCGCGCTCACTTAACCGCTTGCGCCACCGGGCCGGCCCCTAAAAATCATATTCTTAACCCCACAATTTACCCATCAATGTGACTAGCTCAATGAATTTGTACTGACATGTGCAAAATATATTACGCCAAAACATTATTTAAGTATTTTGAAAAATATATTTTACATTTCTGAACAGTTTAGATTTGACTTACTAATGTTCCTATTAGTGTGGTTAATAACAATAGCTCTTCATCGGCTTACTACATACACTGTAAAGTGCAAGGCTATCTACGTTCAAGAACCTGCACAAGGAACTCATACTTTCTCTACTAAGAATTAAATCGCATTCTCAAAGGCTTCCTCATGTTGCCCTATCAAGATTCATTATTCAGACACAAAGAACTACATTTTTGTGTTAGAAAAATTTTTGAATAGTGATTCGATGATCAGCAGTTTCCCCTCCCTCAAATCCTCTCCCATAAAACCGTTAGAAATGATGTATATCTGTCATCTCCAAATTTTAATAACTTACGTAGAATCCTTGATACTGAGGGCATAGCCATCAGTTTCAACATCAACAATCACACAGTTGGAAGGAGCACAAAAGAATGGACTAAACAAACTTCCAATCTGGCCTGTTGAGTTGGTGTTGGCACGAAGAGGGATGTGTTGCAATGTAACAGATTAAGAAGGCATTGCTATGCTATAGTAGATGTACCGATTTATTACAGTTGGGGTTTTCCTTACCAAACATGCTGAATGAACGCAGTCACAGATTGTCCAAGCAAAACAGTTTATGAACATACAGAAACATTTTAGAGCTCTAATAGACTCAGGGAAACCATTACATTTAAGATTGACAGTACTTCTGTCAATCTGGAGGATTGTAGGGTGAAAATCTAAACAGAACTTGCTATTCTCCCATCATTGGGGTGAAATGGGTTAGTTTGAAAAATAGATTCTGTGACTCCTGAACAGCCTTGAAAATATAAGTGATTGAACCCTAGAGCATAGAATTTGTTTCCTCTTAATTTATTTCCAAAATAATTTCTCACAAATTTGATAGGTTTTCTATACGTAAAGCAGTCTTTCATTAATATATAATTCCTAAGACCTTCTCTATTTCAAAGTAGCATATGTTATTCCTAATGTTAATAACTGGTTATTGTCTTTGTCATCACTAACCTACTTCCATGGAACAAACATCTGTAATTTACTTCATTAAAACATGCGTTTCTTCTATGTAATTTAACATGACCATGTTATTTTGCATTAGTGGGAAAACTAAATCCAGCCAGAGTGGAAAAATAAACCATTAAGCCTATTTTTGTCAGCTGCATGATCTGTAAGCCCCATTCTTGACCCTATTAAACATTCAGTTAGAAACTATGTCCTGCCAATTCTACCTTCCAAATCTCTGTCTAATCTGTTCCCTCTTCTCCATTTCCACTATCATTGTGATTCTTGGGTCCTCTCCATCTGAGTGCTGGATACGTATGGAAATACAGTGAACACTAGCCCGTTCGCTGATCTCTCTGTCTCCTTCTATCAATTATGCATTTTGTCACTGGAGTTAGCTTTAGCGAAATGCTGCAAAAACATTGTTGGTCTCCTTGTTCCATATTGCCTAAAGAATTCAAGGTCTCCACTGTACAGTATTTCAGGGCCATTCATAACCTGGCCCCACTCTTTCCCCTTCTAGGCCCTACATTTAAATCCTTCACCAGTTTTTATACAACATCATTTGTTTTTACTACCATGCTGATGCTCACACATCTTCTTCAATCTGAAGTATCCTTTTCCTCCTTTTAAGGCCAACCTCCTCAGTGATGCTTTCTTTGGTTTTCTTAGGAATTGACTGCTCTTTTGAACTTCCACAGTTCTTCATTCAAATCTTGATCACATTTAGTAGGACGGGATCCATGTCTTATTATTCTTTTTATCCTAGTAGAGTACCTTGTACATAATAGGCTCTCAGTACATTTTTACTAAATGTTTGCTGACTGTATGATGGAATGGAAAAAAAAATCCTTCAAGAATTCATGGGACTGCTGACTATTTGAAACTCATTTCAATGACCTGGTTTGCTACATATGTGCCACCTATAGACAGACACTGCCTCTAGGTTAAGTCTATTTTAGGACAGGCTAAGAAGTTCAGAGTTATTGCAAGATGGACCTGGGGAGGAAATACTAAGTTGAATAAGGTTACAATGAATTTCTGAAAGCTTCAGCTCAAAGTCTAGTTAACTGTTATGCAATAAATCATTGAGGCGCCCCTTCTGCATCATGTTGCCTATGAGCAAACTCCATATTTTGTTATCTTAGACCTTCTTGGCGTATCTCTTCTAATCTCTCTCAACATTCCCTCCCTAGAGGATGTCATCCTAGGCTCTAAGCATTTCTGTAATGCCAGTGTCTTGCAAATCTACATCTCTAGTTCCAACCTCTTCCCTGGACTCCACTCTTACATGGCCACTTCTTAGCACTTCTACCCCAACCACCTTTGTCCAAGCCACAATGATTTCTCCTGTGGACTACTGAGATGGCCTCCTAACTGGTCTCCTTATTTCAATCCTTGCCCCATACAGAATATTCTCAGCATAGCAACTACAGTGATCCTTTGAAGAAGGAAATCAGTAACTACTATCGCTCTGCTTATAAACCTCCAACAGCTTCCAATTACTCAAAGCAAAAAGTCCTTCGGCCGGCCCGGTGGCTTAGCGGTTAAGTACTCGCGCTCCGCTACTGGTGGCCCGGGTTCGGATCCCGGGCGCGCACCGACACACTGCTTCTCCGGCCATGCTGAGGCCGCGTCCCACATACAGCAACTAGAAGGATGTGCAACTGTGACAGACAACTATCTACTGGGGCTTTGGGGAAAAAAAAGGAGGAGGATTGGCAATGGATGTTAGCTCAGAGCCGGTCTTCCTCAGCAAAAAGAGGAGGATTTGCATGGATGTTAGCTCAGGGCTGATCTTCCTCACACACACACACACACACACAAAAAGCAAAAAGTCCTTATCCTTGCATGGTCTTCAATGATTTGTGATTTGTATACCACCATCTTCACTTCAGCCACACCTGCAGATCTCTTTGCCATTCCTTGAACAAGCCAAACACATTCTTCCCTTGGAGCTTTTGAACTTGCTCTTTGCTCCTCCTGGAATGCTCTTCCACTTTCGGGGTTTATTCTTTCACTTTCTTAAAGTTCCTGCTGAAACATCTTATCAAAGAGACCTCGCTGTACTACACTTTCTAAAACTGCACCTTCATCCACTTTACCCTGCTTTTTTATTTTTAAATAAGTCTTATCACAACCTGACGTATGTTCGTTTGCCTCTCTCTTCCTATTAGTTGGTAAACTCCTTGAGAGCAGACACTTCGTCTGATTGGTTTACTGCTTTGTTCCATTAGAACAGTGCCTGGTGCAGAACAAGTATTCAATATACATTTGAAGAACAAATGTGACAAAGCTGTTACGTGCCGTTGTACTTTAAAGACCACAAATTTTTACTTAGCTATTTATGAATAAAGTCCATTATTATTGTACCTAATGTCCTACCTTTAAGATCTGAAAGTTATTTCTACTGGAAACATAAAGGAAAGAAAAAAATCTCCAGATATTTCAGTAGATAAAATGAATAATGAAAGTATGGCTATTTTTTACCGTTATATAGCTTTTTTTTCCTGTGGTGAATAGGGCTTTATGAACTACAAAGTATTAGAGCTTAAAACATGATACCAAGTTTTTAAAATTATACCTTGAGACAATTAATGAACTTTTTCTGTTAAAAGTCATCTTTCCTAAAACATTTTTTACTTACAATAATAATTAAACAGTAAGTTACTGAGAGTAAAAACCACGTACAACAGCACTCAGTACAATGGCAGCCAGGACGGCAGGTACCCACAGGCACTAAAAACTTTTTCCAATGAATGAATGAATGAGCAAAGACAATATCAGCTTTTGAGTTTAAGCTGTTTCTCACCTGGCTACAACTAATAAATATATAAGATATAGCCTGAAGGAAAAGTATTTTGAATAGATCTTTTAGGAAATAACCATATCCTACTCTAATAATACCTATTCTAATACACATGCACACATCACATTCTACAGAATTATTTAGGATAGCATTGAAATTCTGCAATCCTTTTTTAAGACTCTTTGGAAACCACATTATCTGAAAATATTTATTTAAAAATACTGCCTACTAGAATATTCTACCTGTGTTTCAGGAATAATGGGACTGTCTTCAGGAGAAGATCTAAAAAAGGTGGATAAAGGTGATGACACGATGATAGGATTTGGCCTCACAAATCCACTCAGATCACAGCTGGGAATGTCATTCTCTTCTTTCTTCATGACTAGGGTATCCATCACATAAAAGACATTCCATGGAATCCAGACAGTATGATACTGAGTGAGGAATGGGGATCGTTCAAATACCAAAGTTAGAGAAGCCCCACCATTTGCCACCAAGTCAAACCTAAGAAAAAACAAGATATGCTTAGTGAATTATCTGGATCCTGTATAATTCCCAACGCTCACCTCCTTAAATTAATATGCTTTATAAAGAAAATCAACTTTTTCTCCCAACTTGTATATGAAATACTTTCAGATCTACAGGAATATTAAAAGAATTATACAATGAATACCCATATACTCTTTACTTAGATTTACCAATTTATTAACATTTTCCCAAATTTTCTTGAACTTTATACTATCTACTAACTACTACCTATCTACGCCTTTTTCAGAACCATCTGAGCTTGTCATAGATATTATGAAATGTCACTCCTAAATATTTCAACATGAATCTTCTAAGACAAAGAACATTTTCCTACAAAAACACAATACTATTATCATGTCTTAGAAAATGAAATTGACTTTTAAAGAACTATGTGAGTATATGACTAAATTTCTGCCATATGTACTGTCACAGATTTCTGGAGCTAAAAGTTGTTGCATTTCTATATTGAAAGGGACAATAAAACATGTAGGGTATAGGTCTAGTTTCTATATTTAAATACTTCAAGCAGAGATAGTACACTGGGACTAACTCACATTCCGTCCTGGCGGGTAATAGTATATCCATATTCTGGGTAGTGGAAAAACGAGACATTTACTCCAATAAGGGGCGTTCCATCAGCAGTTAGCACTTGGCCTCTGATGACGGATGCAAGGCTGTGGGAAAAGCAGAATAATTAGAATGAACATTAGTCTTCTCAGGCCAACATTATCATGATTTAGAGATAATTCAACCCGAGGATACAATAACACAATCACACGTAATCTATTGTTATTCACAAAAATCAGACCTGAAATACTCCCAAGACAATGTCCCGTTTAATTAGGCATAACTCACATTCCCCAAATGCTTGGTGTTTACCCTGGATTTTAATTCATTGCAATCTGGTTTTTGGAGAGTTATCAAGACCAATAATTTAGAGATGAGTTTTTAAAATTATAAACTGCTTTTTTCACAAGTCATATATCTGGTGCTTACATGAAGAAAAGCAACTTTCCAATTAATTCTGAGGCAATTTGTAAATCTGCAGGGACCAAGAAGTACAAGATTTAAGGAGGTAATAAGGAACATTTGTGCAACAACTTTTAAGCAACTGCTGGGTTTGACTGCATTAACGCAGTTAAATTACTGCAGACCCAGGAGTTCTGGTGTAAATCGTCTTCTTTTGCTCAGTGAGACACGAGACACCTGCTTTCACTTACTGGTTTATTTTCAGGTCATTACTGCTCTGTAAAGTGCCAAACAGCTTATGCAATCTTACTGCCATGCCGTTAGCAGTTCCATTACATTAATTCATAATTTATATTATTTAGTGAGCTCAGCTAAAAAAAAAGTGCACTTCTGTTTTGCCTTTTGGGGTCCTTTCATTGCTTCTTTTGAAACATTTCCAACTGTGCTAACAAAATCAACTAGTTAAATGAAGATTTATTGACTCCTTAATGGGATGTCCTGTTATGTCTCAGGCACTGAAATTGACAAAGTATGTGAACTGTGTCAAAAATGCTTGAAATGCGAAGTTTGGTGAAGAATTTGCCAAAAGAGGAAAAACTGCATTATAAAAAAAGCACTTTCCTCAAATTCACAGTCATCAGCATTTCATATAAAGTGCATATAACTGTTGATAATTTCACTACAGGTCTATACAAGCAAAAGATGCATTAACCTCTTATTGAAAGGACTTTCTCCGGGTATAACATGGGTGCTATCAGATCCTATAAGAAAACTGATTCGATCATAGAAGGATTTGGCAGCTTGCTGAGATGGGGATTGTAAGCTCTGGCTAATGATATCCTGAGGATCAGGCAGTCCACGGCAGTAGGGCTGATTTTGGCAAGAACTTTGCAAACAGCAATCAGGATCCATGCAGTCAATGAGTCCATCTGTAAGAGAGAAACGTAAGCCAGTAAGGGAATTCCCCTTTTTATGCCGTGATGTAGAATAAGTTTTGTGTTTGTTGTTTTTTCACCTTCGCTCCCCCTATCTGATAGTAACTTCTATGAGGCATATTTTTTGAAACCAGATGAAATATAAATACAATACTTGCAGCTGCTTTCATAGATAGTAAATATTGGGATTGAAGAGGACTGAAAAGAATCATATAATGTTGATTCTCGGTAAGAACTAAAAAACTACTGATTAGAACAATCTATTAGTGGCATGAAGGAATATGGATTAGTTGTAAGTATAATCACTCAAGCCTTCACATTTTAGAGAAAACGCACCAGGAGTTATAGTAAGTATGTATGGCAAACGGATAGGTACCTACATTGGGTGAAGCTCTAAAATTTGGGAAAGGGTCAGAAAATGAAAGGCTGTGAAATGAAGCAAATACAAATCACATAATATGGATGAGATTAGCCAACCAACTTTCAAGGAAATAGTTCTCCCAAGGAGAGTCAAGTGTGTTCCAAATAAAATTAAGGCATTTCTCAAATTTTAAAAAGGAACCTGAGCCCTTAGTATGCCTGCCCTAAAATGCAGATATTAATAAAAATGTGGCAAATGTAAATAAGCCATAACATTAGAAATGGTAAGAAACTTATCACAAAAAATTGACCTACAGTGTTGGTGACAAAAAAAGAGTAATGGATAGAAGGAATGTACCAGTGCCTTCTCTAGGAACATCAAAAGGAAACTATATTCAATGGGCGATATTTTATTTGAAATATATAAACCAACCTATCAGTGGATAAGAGTGGCAGGTTATAATGGCTTGATGACATTATGCCTTGAGGCCATTTTGCACTGACCAGCTGATACATGAATTTTGATCTGCTTGGCAATTACGTTTCTCAGTACAAATTAATAAAAGCATTAGTTTCTGAAGACTTGAATCATTCTTGGGAGAAATGACAAAATGGTTGTAAAATCTTCAAACCTAAATATCAGGTCTTGGTGTGACCCTATTATGACAAACTCAGCTAAAAATATCTGGTTGACCTATATGTTTTATTTACACAAGTGTTTTTGAATACTTTTATTTTTAAAAAACCACACTAGCCATTTTTTTGCTTTAGGCTACTCTTATTAATAGAATATAAGCTTGTGTCTTTATTATCTGGCAGCAAACCAAGACAAAAGAAAGCAGACTAAATTGAATTATATGACCCAGCCTAGAAGCAGGCCAACAACAACACAGGTAAGGTAAGAAATGAGATGAGGGGCCTGGCTCAATGACCCTAAGTCATTTGCCCACCTGAAGAAGAATGTCTTGAACACTTGTGATTTCTGCTAACACCCATTTCCCTTCTCTGGGCAATAGCTCTAAATTTTCATCTGGGTATTCAGCTCTCCCTAATTCTCAGGCTATGTGCGTATTTTCCTTCATGCTTGGTTCAGAAATGTACATGTGACCTAACTTTTTTAACCAGAGTGAGTTTCAGGAACTATCTGAAAAGAGATTCCATCTCCTCTCCACCCCCTCCCCTGAGGCTTGGAGCTGTAAGGCTGTGAGGCTGGGGTTGCTGCATCCATCTTGCTGCCACTACAGAATAACCTATCTGGGAATGGAGCCATCCCAGAAGAAGCAGAGTTAAGAGCTGGAGAGAAAAAACAACAGTTCATAGTGACATGTTTGGGGTTTTTGCAATAAGCTGCACCTGACCTCCTAGGCTTTTCACTTCTAGAAGCCAAGGCATTGCCTTCTTTCTTACTCCTGTTTGGGTTGGATTTTCTGTCACGTGAAATCAACTGAAACAGACTTAGTTTATCCAGAGACAGTAACTAAAAATCGCCTCACTATTTTCCTTATAGTTGAAGGAAAAAAAGCTTAATAAGTGAATAACGGAATTAAATTTATGGTGTTGGACTCTTTTTACATTATTTTAATTTTTTGTTGCTATAATTTCTACACATATGAAAAGGTATGAGTTGGAATTTCTGATAGGCAGATCTTATTACATATTGTTTCCTTATTATAGTTACATTTTCATGTAGATGTCTGTTATATTTCAAAAAATAGGTTTTTAATTATTTGAAACTGCATATTTATTTATTTGACAAAAATTTTAAATGATGTTTTAAGAAAATCAAATGAAACTGAGCTTTGAAACTTCATATAAATTTATCAAGATCTTACTTTCTTAGCCAAAAGACCACAAAGGTGAAAAATGTCTAAATATTTCTCAATATTTCTAGCGGAAGAAAGATGAAACTATGCTCTAGGCTTATTTTTCATGAGGATATATTATAATAATGCAATACACTGTATTTTTTCTCCATCTCTCTCAAAGAAATAGAAGCACAGTTATTAAGACTCAGATTTTTAAAGTAGTAGACTATTGCCCTATTGCCCCAATATCATTTCTGCCTTCAAAAAAACAATTAAAAAAATAAAACCCTTTCAGTAACAATTCATGATTATACGTTGAGACTTCATGAGAAATCTTTAATACGTATTTTATGACATATTTAAGAGTTCTTACTCCATGGATGTAGAATGGGTGTGCATAGGCACACACCCACAAATAACACAAATATTTGATATTCTTTCAGGTACTCACCTTATATTCACTCTTTAACATAAGTAGAAACTACTTAATGGAGAAAGTACTTCCAAATATTATATTTTATCTCCATTAATCTTGTAAATTAAGGTTAAATGCTCCCGGTCCTCTTCTCCTCCCCCACAATACTCTCGGCAACGTCTTCCTTTAGGCAATATATGGTACAGTTGCCAAAGAGGAATGCTTAAATTTAGTCATTCATCTTTGTTAGTTTATAAAAAGCAAATGTACATCTGGCATGTAGTCATAAAACTGCATGAGATGGACACCTTCTGAACTAATCAGTTGGAAATGCATTTTTACAAGCCTCTCTGCTAACATCAATCAGAGAAAGAATCTCATTTTCAACAGTCAAGATGCAGGGACACACTGTTTGTTATTTTTCTGCAGAGTTTATCAGTAACTTGCCCAAGCAAGTGACGGATGGTTATGAATCTGACTCCATATAACTTGAAAAAATATTTTTCATTCTTTGTCTGTACTTATATAGCTAAGACTATCTAGTATCACTAAGTTGATTACCCACTTGCCCAAATGTATACTGTAGTCAAATTGTCTTCGTGGAATAGTTTCTCAAAATCATCGAGATTCCATTTTAGTCTCAGGAATATTAGGTTGGCTTAAATTTATATTGGCGTAGAAGCCATCTCTAACAGAATTAATCATAAAAAATCTAAAGAAAACCAGAAACGTTCAAAACTCACTGAATAACAACTTCAATGTTCAGTTAAGAGCCTTTCTTTCTTCAGTTAGGCTTTGCAATATAAGTGGTACTTTGATGCGAAGTACATACTACAGCTTATGCTTCCGTCCACTCAATCCTTAATATTATTGCTCTAGTTATCATTTTTAAACATGTTCTCATCTTTCCTTAGGCTTTCACTGGACTTTCATAGTGGTTGGCAAACTTATTTTGTAAAGGGCCAGATAATAAATATTTCAGGCTTTATGGGCCTTACAGTCTCTGTTGCAACTGTTTGACTCTGCCTTTATAGCGCTCAAGCAGCCATAGACAATATGGAAATGAATGGGCGTGACTGTGTTCCAATAAAACTTTATTTACAAAAACAGGCTTTGGCCCAGGGGTCACAGTTTGCCAACCTCTGGTCTTGCTTTAATGTTTCCACCCTACCCTATTTCCTTGTACTCTTCAAATCATTCTTGATATTTTTTCCAGCAAATTTAAACAATGCACATTTTGCCAGATTATTACAACTTCTGATTCCAAGTCTTTCCTCGGTTATCCTCTATGCTGGCTTTTATCTGCTTGTCAAAACTCTCACTTTTTTCTTTTAAGCAGCTATAGATATTTTAATCTGTTTTTAAAAAACTTGACTTATTGACTGGATAAAAAGTCATGAATTTCCTTTTAATGAATTTCCCTTTTTTTACTCAAAAGATAATTAATGCCCACTGCCCTTCTCCACAGTATTTGGAAACCACTCTCCCTCATTCCAAGTTAGAAGTCGAGGTAGAAATGCTGATGCAATATTTTGTCTGTGGACTTCAGAATTTTCAAAGTGTACAGGTATGCTTTTCATTACTTTTTTAAGTCACGATTCTGTAATATGCATGAAATTCATTTGTTTATTACTGAATTGGGATCGTATTTGGTTTTCTGTATCTTCTTGGTCTGTCTATAACAGAGCTTTCTTGGTGGCTTTAGTCTCTATGTTCACATCACTTTAATGCTAATGACTCCTGGCTGCTCATTCTCCTGAACTCCAAATCCACAAACTGCCTTCTAGATATTTCCACTTGGATATTACACAGGCATTGAAAACTTAACACATCTAAAACACAACACATATGATCTTCTCTAAACATGCTGCTTCTTCTGTATTTCTTGTTTCAACGAATGGTTCCACCATCCACCTATCCAGTTTCTCAAAGTAGAAACCTGAACGTCATCCTTGACTCTTTTTCTCTGCAGCTAATCAATGACCAGTTCCTTCTTTTCTTCATCCCCAATATCTCTTGAATCAGTCTTATTTCTTTCCATTTCACTGAAACCATCCTCCGGGCCACCATGGTCACCTCTTGACAAGATCTCGACAGTTGCTTGGCTTCCCAGGTTCCAGTCTTGTCTCTACTATTCATTCTCTATACTTTAGAGTAATCTTTGCAGAAATCAAATTTGATTATTTCACCTCCCTAGCTAAAAGCTTTCCTTCACTTGGTCTTTGCTGCCTTCTGAATAGTTAGAACTCCTTAATATGGCTTACAAGACCTTTCATGATTATTACTCCCTCTGCCTGGAGACCTCTAACCTGCTCTCTTACTGCCCCCACCCCCACCTCCAACTCCTTCAGCCATTAGCTCAGACAATGGTCTCAGGAAGCTCCTTGAGGGCTAATCTAGTTCACTGTTGTGTC